GGTTAGGGGAGTCTCGAATGTCAGACAGTAAAATACTCGTATGGTCATGGGTCCAGCGGGACTCGAACCAGCAGCAATTGTAAACGACAGACCCGTCCTCTCGTTTGAGAGGATACCCTACATCGACAAACCAAAAACTCTGTGACAGTAACAAGAGCCGGGTCTTGGGCACCAGATGGGCGCTTGACACCAAGATAGACTGGCCGACTGACCGTCGGTCGTAACATAACTTTGTCTTTGAACGTATGGATATGCCTTTCGCTAGCATCTGAAGGGCTAGATGGTTTCTGTTCAGATTCGGCAGATTCTCGAAGAAGAATGCAAAAATTTTCATTAAATTGCAATAATTTATAGAGCTCTTCACTGTATCTTCAAGAAAATAAGGGCATATGCGCTAAGGGCCCAAACGCGAGATACTAATTTTATTAATACGGACTTTACTGGTAGGACGGTATTCATTTTTGTTCGGTATTCAGTAATCAACATTGGCCTACCGAACATCAATGCATTTCGCTTGCAAAGAAAAGCAATGAAACTCAATCTTATATAAGTAACTATACGCCGTGTTTTTGTATCCACTGTTTCGTATTCTATTTCCTCTTCTTCCTTCAAGTTCCTGACCTACGCAATTATTCGTCCAGGGTCTGTAAGGTATAATTTAATACTGCAGTCTCATATTCCTGCCGCTAGAAAGCGCTCAATGTTAAATGCTGGAAGTCAAACTGGTAGCCAACTCGTAAAACAATTTTGTCTTCTGGCTAGCAAAAGAAAATTACTGAGTTGTAATGAGGCAGCTGAAAGTAATTAGCCAATTGCATGTGGGGACAATGCTACTCGTGGGCATGTTATTCAATTACGGTAGAGTTAATTACAGTGGTCTTACTGTGCATAACTTGTGGACACGAGTCTTTAAGTGACCATTACATCAACATGTTCCCTACAAACACTTGTTAACCTACAACATCTTCCGGTTGATTGTACACTGATGAGTTTTCGCGGTGGTTAGAATTAAGGTTTCTGTCTTCTGGGTTATAACACCGTGTAGTTTGGTAGGTAATTAGAGTCCTACTTAAAAAAGTTTAAGAGTTACCTGACGCCTTCTTGTCGCGCTGAAGGTGAAGACATCAGGTTCCTCTAAAACGTCGGTGTCTGCCATCAAGACTACACGGCGTCATGTCTCTGAAGACCGTAACTTTAGGCTTGACTATAATTGTGATAAATAACTAAATGTTGACTCGGAATTCACAATAATTTATTCAGTTTTATTAATTTCTTGACTCTAAAACAAAATGAAAACTATATGATTTAAAATGACGTGAAGGGTTCTGTCTACTTGTAGTATGCTGAAAACCAACCGACTTTTCGGAGGATCGAAAAATAAATAGAATAAGAAAGAAGCATGAAGCAGATAGCATAACTCTCCGAAACAAAGAATGATTTTCGACGTACTACAAGGCGTTAAACCCCAGACGACAAAGGTGACATAGCCAAAGTTGGGAGAACCTCATATCCTGCACGCAATTATATTCTCTTGCCTTTGACTGTTATTTAAGTCACACGCCTCTTCCAACAATTCACAGAACTCAAAACGTGTACCGAGGTTCTGTATGGCAATTCATTAATATTAAATTCTGTTAGAAATGTTGGATCTTAGCCAATTTGAAAAAGCTGTTTCAACTACAGCGATTAGACCTTCGCTGTAAACCATCGAACGCGACAGAAATAAAGTTACAACTGAGTAACAGATAAGGATTAGGAAGGAGGATGTCATATCCGCTTTCCCGCCCTGCTTCTGATGAACTAATATGAATCTAACTTACATTAACCAGAGAATGTTTCAAAAGGTAAAGCTATCCTGTAACAGGCAGTGAAGGCCCATAGGGTTAAAAGACGTCGAGGCTCCCACATTTTCTAGACAATCGGCTTACAGATGTCGGTGAGGTTGTTAGACTTACGCGCCGGCCGCCCTTTACATCGCAGGAAGATTCCTGGTACTCATTTCTGTTAGAGGCTGAGTCCACTCCCGGGCCATAGTGCAGCTGGAAGGATTAAGTTAATTAAAAAATCCAATGACCTCATCGGGAATCGAATCCGCGATTTTTCGGCCTGTAGCATAGTGCCTCAACCAACTACGCTAACGCGTGCCTCCAGAAAATTTCCCTTGTATATCTCAAANACAGAACTCAAAACGTGTACCGAGGTTCTGTATGGCAATTCATTAATATTAAATTCTGTTAGAAATGTTGGATCTTAGCCAATTTGAAAAAGCTGTTTCAACTACAGCGATTAGACCTTCGCTGTAAACCATCGAACGCGACAGAAAGTTACAACTGAGTAATAGATAAGGATTAGGAAGGAGGATGTCATATCCGCTTTCCCGCCCTGCTTCTGATGAACTAATATGAATCTAACTTACATTAACCAGAGAATGTTTCAAAAGGTAAAGCTATCCTGTAACAGGCAGTGAAGGCCCATAGGGTTAAAAGACGTCGAGGCTCCCACATTTTCTAGACAATCGGCTTACAGATGTCGGTGAGGTTGTTAGACTTACGCGCCGGCCGCCCTTTACCTCTCAGGAAGATTCCTGGTACTCATTTCTGTTAGAGGCTGAGTCCACTCCCGGGCCATAGTGCAGCTGGAAGGATTAAGTTAATTAAAAAATCCAATGACCTCATCGGGAATCGAATCCGCGATTTTTCGGCCTGTAGCATAGTGCCTCAACCAACTACGCTAACGTATGCCTCCAGAAAATTTTCCTTGTATATCTCAAATATGTAATTTCATCGAAATATCTTCAAGTTTTTCGGTCATAGTCCACCTACCCAGCGAATCAGAGTACACCATATCTTGTATAAGTAACCTTACGGAAGAAAATTCCTCTGTAAACGCGTCTAAATTTACCACAAGCATGGAAACATCGAGAGTTTTCTCAAAATACGATATAATAACTTTCTCCAACGATGACGTAACGGTCTACGTCACTAACTGATGATGACGCACGCTCGTTCACATAGCGGGCGAAGCATAAGATAGATACGAACTGAAGGACAGAGGGACGGACACGAGTTCACTTTATGTTCTTGGTGCAAACACAGTGTTAGAGGGTCTAAATGAGTTCAGCACAAAACCAGTAAACAGAGGATGTTTACACGTTTCTCTCCTAATTACTTGCAGGTACAGGTGACCTGAACGCGAGGTCCAAGTGGCAGTCCAAGCAGTGGACTCATGAAACAGACGCAATTAAGTGAAGGTGCAGGAAGTACGATCAAATGTGAAGGCGGCAACTTGCGCGGAACAGACTTTAATCTTCCAGCATAACGACTGGTATATGTTCCAGGAGCCAATAGAGTACGTGATGAGGTTAGATACAGGTTCGTCACAGGGATGTACACAATGGTATCTACATTAAGGGGCTATATTAATGTTGTCACGTGCATCGAGTGACTATAGACGGGGTTTTGGCTGTGTAAATCTGACAAGGATTGTCCAGTGATTATGATTAGCTCTTTCTAAAGAGACCAACTGAGTAGGTGTCTTTCCCCTTCACCTGAGGAAGGAAACAAATTCAGTTTCCGAAACGTCGTATTCTCTACTTTCTAGAATACCGGACGATGGAAAAGGTCCAAAAACCCAGTTATTCTGTGTGTCAGAACCCTTTAGTAACTCAAAGTGAACCCAGTTCTTAACCTGCTCATAATTGTGTAAAATCCATCCCTGGTCTATCAAGTAGCTTCTTTCCTTCAAGTATTCCTACGAAATCTCTGTTATTGACCACGGTTCTATAACATTCCCTGTTCATCTAATCTTTCTTGACTTGACCATTCTACTAGTATTTTGCGAGGAGTATACATTACGATGTTCCTCATTATGTAATTTTCTCCAGCCTTCTGTTATATTCTTAATCTCCTAAACAGAAATATTGACTCTGATTTGAGTCCACCTGCCGCCTCTGAGGACCTGTAAGAAGCGAATTCCTTGCTTCAAGATATGATGAATAAAAACTGGGAATGGAAAATGATAAATGACTATTACATTGCGATGTTAGAGGAAGTGTGCTATTATATTAGTAAATCTAACAACACAACGACCCTATTATTTCTACTGGCATTATCTATGGCCAGATCTGAACAGCAGTGACACTATGGACCGGACAGGAAGACGATGTCAGAAAAAAATGCATATAATTTCTTATACAGACGACATCCTGTTAATACTTCATTAATGTGACATTCCAGTGCATTCTCACTAGAAGCATAGGACTACTTCTCGTCACAAGAATTTTTGCTGACGTATTAGGACAACATTCTGGCGAAAGTGAGCCTCAGAAATCGACGTTTCGTAACAAACACTTAAACTAAATTCTATTAGGTTAATGGACATTGGAAATTCTACGAGAAAATTTTCATTTGTTGGGTCCCCATATAAACTTTATTACCTTTACCTTCTTCATTCCTTTCTCCCGTACCCTTTTCCTGTCAGTTTTGTCACCTTATCGTAATAACGTCCGTTTCTTTCCTCTCTCTCCTTCGGTAATCAATTTCAGATACACATCGCTCACATCAGGCATCCTACGTGGGCCTATTTAGTTATTTCAACGTTTTCCTCCAAGTAGCATCTCAGGTTCCTCTTCATAATAACCATGAAGGTTTCTACATTCTGGGACATGACGCTATGAAAATCAGCCGAAGTTTCGAAGGAAAATGTTGCATCCATCATCAGGTTCGAAGAATAAGTCAAACAATAAACCGTGAAGATGGAGGCGAAATGTTCATCCGAAACTTCGGTTGAATTTTAACGGAATACACGGCACTATATACCAGAATATAGAACTCTTCGTTGACCTCCATGTCCGTATCCGTCTGTGAGCGCGAGTGAATGCACACAGGCACATACGTGTACACTTCCAACTCAGAAATTTGCACAGTCGTGATGTTGGCACTGCCATTGTGGACTCATAAAGCGATTAGTGTTGGAATAGTAATGTAATAGGATCCACTCACCTATCGAAGTCTGTCAGACGTGAAGAGTCTCTGAAGCCCTTTGCAAAAGGGTTACTGTCTATCTTCAGCTTCGTGATCTGCAACAGAAGTGATTGAGTTCGTGTCAATGTTATCATCCCTGAGCTCTGTAAATGAATTCAATCTTATACCATTCATGTGTTAATGGTAGGCGTACAGTAGCTGGTTCATAATTAACTCCACAGAAATGCGTCCTTCATGAGAATCTAACAGCTGATTATCTGTTCTGGAAATTTCCAGAATTATATGGAATCCGACTGCATCTGCGGTCTGGTGGTCAGAGTTCCTGGCTACAGATCCAGAGGTCCGGGTTCAATTCCCGGCGCTACCAGATTTTGTGAGAAGTAGTGGGTCTGGAACGGGGTCCACTCAGCCTTGTGGTGATAATTGAGGAGCTATTTCAAGGATATAGCGATTTCGGTCTAGAAAACAGAGATTAACGGTTGTGGGGATTTGTTGCGCTGACCATGTGACACCCTCTTTCCGCAAAGAGCTGCCACTAACTTCGCCGACAAACGGCGGTCGCTCGGCCGGTATAGTTCGCTTGCGGAGTACGGGCAACGGAGTTTGTTTTGTGTGGAATACAAGTTTCATTGTCTTGTTCATAAAGGGCTATAAGAGCCAGATGAATCCAGTTCAAACCCTCGCAATCTATAGGTCTATATTCTTAATTCTGAAAAAAAAAAAAATAAAGGAGGCTTATGAATTCACAATTTCTTTATTAAAAAAAGTCACAACACAACTATATTAAGGTCAGTGCCAAGCTTAGCTCTGCTTAATGTTTCGGCTACCAAAAGCCATCATCAGGCAAATACATGGCCAACATATACGAGTATACACCACTGAACTGCAGTAGTAGTAAAATTGGATACAAAAATTTAATTATATTACAATTCTTGGCGTAAAAGTACAATAAATTAGACTATATAAAACGAAAGTTATAGTATAAAACAAGATTAAAATTCTTCAAGTGATGCTTTACATCATCGAGTCAATCGTTGGTTTTTGCGATTTTGTTGTCTTGACACGGACAAATTGGATTATTCTATATTTTGTTTGCTGATTTCGTAAATGTGAAATCAGCAAACTAAATTTACAACTAAACGATAATTTTACCGAAATTTTTAACCCTATATATATGATGTAATCATTGATACATACAAAACATAATATACAGTCGTGCCCCTACCCCTTTCCCGCCCTTGCATTGACTTTCAACATACATCACCAAATCAGTCGCTGTTTACATTCCCTACAGAACGGCCAATACTTTGCAAGATGAGGCACCGACTAAACAGTAAGTAAACAATACACTATAGCTTCAATACCAAAATCAATTGCTGATTACAACAAAATTTAATACTATTACTTTCATATCATTTTCAGATTAACATTAATATTACTACAGCCACATCACGAGCCTCCAAAACAGTTCATTATATACACACAAAAATATTGAATATTCCAATTTGTTCGTGTGAATACAACAAAATCGCAAAAACCAACGGCTGACTCGATAATGTAAAGCATCACTTGAAGAATTTTAATNCAATAAATTAGACTATATAAAACGAAAGTTATAGTATAAAACAAGATTAAAATTCTTCAAGTGATGCTTTACATCATCGAGTCAATCGTTGGTTTTTGCGATTTTGTTGTCTTGACACGGACAAATTGGATTATTCTATATTTTGTTTGCTGATTTCGTAAATGTGAAATCAGCAAACTAAATTTACAACTAAACGATAATTTTACCGAAATTTTTAACCCTATATATATGATGTAATCATTGATACATACAAAACATAATATACAGTCGTGCCCCTACCCCTTTCCCGCCCTTGCATTGACTTTCAACATACATCACCAAATCAGTCGCTGTTTACATTCCCTACAGAACGGCCAATACTTTGCAAGATGAGGCACCGACTAAACAGTAAGTAAACAATACACTATAGCTTCAATACCAAAATCAATTGCTGATTACAACAAAATTTAATACTATTACTTTCATATAATTTTCAGATTAACATTAATATTATTACATCTATATCACGAGCCTCCAAAACAGTTTTTATATACACCAAATATAGAATATTCAAATTTGTCCGTGGGAACGCAACAAAGTCGCAAAAACTAACGGCTGACTCGATGATGTAAAGCATCACTTGAAGAATTTTATTCTTGTTTTATACTATAACTTTCGTTTTATATAATCTAATTTATTGTATTTATACGCCAAGTATTTTAATATAATTAATATCTTTTATCCAATTTTACTAGTTCTGCAGTTCAGTGGTGTATATATGTTAGCCATGTATTTGCCTGATGATGGCTTTTGGTAGCCGAAACATGTAGCAGAGCAAAACTTGGCACTGACCTTAATATAGTTGTGTTGTGACGGTTTTAAGAAAGAAATTGTATATTATAACAAAACAGGATGCATGAAATGAAAATTATGAATTCACCTTGCTGTCTGGCTTTCTGTGTATCGCCCCAACCTATTCGTTTTCTGTGCGTTCCGTGTCGGATAAAGGAAGGGAGGCGATTAGTTCTTCGCCGAACTTATTGTGATATTATCCTCCTACGTACGAGTCAGCTCAGTACGGGTGGCTATGAGAAGAGGACTGTCCACTGTTAGAAGCCGTTAGCAGGGAACGGCTGGTAAAGACACAGCAGGCTGGAAAAGGCTTAGCGGGTGCTGTGGAGATTAGCGACGGCGCTGTAATTACTTGTACTTACGATTCGTGTGTATAAGTGGTCGGTAAATCCCATATCCAACCTTACCCAGTCTATATTCACTTCCAAATCGTGACAATATGGATGAAACAGACAAAATTTTGAAAAAAAAAAAAAAAGAGGTGCGAAATGAAGAAAATTCCTTCAGAAATATCAGAAACCGGAGAAACTTTCTTTTGACTTAGTAAACCGTGCCGGCCATACTGATACAAAAATTATATGAATCAACTTACCTACAACGAATACCGAGGCCAAGAAAACGTGGATCTATCCATTCCCCCATACGTCTTCATGTCACAGTGCGTAGTTAGGTAAGCACAAGGACAGCTTTACTTTATCCACTTGCAGCAGTAGGCCACGCCATAGCTCAAGTGGTTAGTCGCTGGCTTCCCATCGCGGCGACCCGGGTTCGATCCCGGGTCTGGTCAAGTGGGAATTGTGGACAAAGTAGCGCTGGGGCATGTTTTCTCCGAGTACTTGGTTTTCCCCTGCCAACCTTCATTCCACCAATTGCTCCACAATCACCCTCACCTATCATCTGGGGCTGGTACAATAGGCCAGAAGTGGCCGCAGTAGAGGGACTTAGTCCCACCCCACTAGCAATAAAAAAAAATACTTGCAGCAGTTGTGAATATTGTGTGTACCTATACTTATTAAAGTGATTTATGTTTTATCGAGCCGGGATAGCGCAGTCGGTATGGCGACTTGCTACGGGCTGGACGACCGAGATCGGAGTTCGAGTCGAGGTAGGATCAAGAATTTTCCCTTCTCCATATCGTCCAGACCAGCTCTGGGGTCCACCCAACCTCCTATACAACGGGTACCGGGGGCTCTTTCTCAGGGGTTAATCTGACCACTCGCCTCCAACTAGTGCTGAGGTCAAGAAAACCTGGATCTATACATCCACTCCCCCATACGTCTTCATGGTACAACTTTACCTTACAAGCCACATTACATTCCAATCAAACTATTCATACAGCTAGTCAATACGCACCAGTTGATTCTGGTAGGCCGTGACGGCGGTAAAGACGGACTCAGGGAAGATGTATGTTCGATATTCTTCAGCTTCAAGGTCGGTGATGGGACCTCCGTGTTCCCGCCACTTGATGAGATGTATCCGAGGCTGGTACCGGTGCATGGAATTCAGCACGATCTGAAATCATGACGTAAATAACAAACGACTCTGTATATATTTCAGTATGCAACATCTTCACCGTTAGGCGTCTAGTAATTATTGTAATAATAAATAATCTAATGCAACAAATTTAATAGAGAAGAACAAATCAGACAGGCCTATGTACTCTTACATATTTCGGCCCCTTAGAACCATTATTACGGGCACTAATATCTAACTAACTCCGTGGAGCTGAGCACTTCTTGAGATGATGCCAGTTGTTCAGCTATTGAAGAACGTCCCAACAATTTATGGAGGACAAAAGTTCATTACCGTGTTCACAAGAGCCCGCTACTGGCCTGTATCCTGAGCCAGATCAATTCAGCTCATAACACCCAAATACTATTTTATGACCAATTTTAATCTTATACAACATATGAATAAATACAATATATATGAATATTTTTTTTTCTTTTTCTGTGGCGCTACAGCCCCAATTTGGGCCTAGGCCTACCCTATGAAACTCTCCGTTTCACTTCGGTTTACTAGATCTTACACATTCGGTAGGACTCCTTGGGCGAGTGATCAGCTCGTCACAAGGCCTCTACCTGTAGACAAACAGAAAAACGCACACAAACATCCATGCCCTGAGTGGAATTCGAACCCACAATCCCGGCTTCCGAGAGAGCGAAGACAGTGCATGCCTTAGACCGCTCGGCTACCGTGACCGGCATCAATAAAAATTAGGATATATCAAACTTTAGTTTTGCCTGTGGTTCTGCATGGGTGTGAAACTTGGTCTCTGACATTAAGGGAGGAACATAGACTGAGGGTGTTTGAGAACAGGGTGTTGAGAATATTTGGACCGAAGAGAGATGAAGTGACAGGAGGTTGGATAAAACTGCACAATGAGGAGCTCATGACTTGTACTCTTCTCCAAGTATAATTAGAATGATCAGGTAAAGAAGGATGAGGTGGGCAGGGCATGTAGCATGAATCAGGAGAAGCAGAATGCAAATAGGATATTGGTGGGAGAGCAGAAGGAAAAAGATCATTAGGAAGACCAAGGCGTATGTGGGTGGACAATATTAAAATGGTTTTAGAGAGATAGGATGGGATGATATGGATTGGATTGATCTGGACGAGGATAGGGACCAGTGTAGGATTCTTGTGAACACGGTAATAAACCTTCGGGTTCAATAAAATGCTGGGAATTTCTTGAGTAGCTGTACAATTGGTGGCTCCTCAAGCCGGGCTCAGCTCCATGAGTCAGCAAGTACTATCTCTGAATAGGTCTTCTTAGTTGCCTCTTTCCCCCATGCGTACTGCATGCCCTGCCCACCTCATCCTTCTCGACTTGATCGTTCTAATTATATTTAATGAAGAGAACAAGTTATGAACAGAGGTATGACAATGGAAAGAAATCAATATTACATTTATTATTGATCTTAAAATATGGTTCAATGCTCACGCCAATACTACACAGCCAACAGGGCACTCAGAATTTTTAATATAAAATAAGGAAAAGAGACCGACATGACGCAAAATAAAACAGAAGATACATAGAGCGTTGGTGTAACGAAATATACTTTTACTACAAAAAACTATTTTTATAAATATGTTATATACCAAATTTTAAAATGTTGTAACAAGTGTGAAGCTAATTAATTTAAGGAGATATTACACAAAGAAGAACTCTGTAATTTAAACCGATCTTTTAGTGTTGTATCGATTATCAACGCAAGAAAATTACAACACGTCGGATGTGTGTACCGCTGACGAATGGTATTCTTGTACGAGCCGAATTGAGGTAGACCCTTGTAACATACTCCATAGTCCTAAAATACATAAACTCTACATTAGCAGGCCCAATAACTTAGGCCTAAATTATTTATTTGCTTCTGTATCATGATTCTGAACTCTGAATATTAAACTTTCATTTGAATGGACATACAATATAAAAATTATTTTTATAATTATCCTATAATGGACTTGAGTCGGGGTAGCTCAGTCGGTAAAGCGGCCTACGGGTTGGATGTCCGGTATTCGAATCCCAGAAGGGGGGCAAGATTTTTCTCTTCTCCACAGCGTCCAGACAGGCTCTGAAGCCCACCCAGTGCCAATCCAATGGGTACTGGAGGTCAACTCCCCAGGATTAAAGCGGCCGAGGCGTGAAACTGACCACTCACCTCCACCTAATGCCGAGGTGAGCAATTTTGGAGCAATACCTCCTCTTAATTAGGCAATAAAGCATAAGGATAACCTTACATTTTACCTTCATTTTTCTCTAGTCTATAGGTTCATATAGTATAAGATTTTCATTAAGGATTCTGTAAAAATCTTCTATTTCGAAAGGGTTCTGTGTGCAAATTCAATTGAGAAACTTCACATTATTGTAAATATTTGCATTTACATGACCGGATTCTGCAAATATCGAAAGCTAGGCCCCAAACTTTGAGTTACCCATAAATGAGACGCGGCGAAAACACTCAAAAACAAAAAACCATCTACGTACACTCCGTGGCTTATAGTCCGCAAGTGAATTATACCGACCGAGCGATCGCCGCTTGTCGACGAAGTTAGTGCCAACTTTAGTGGATAGAGGCTGTCGCGTGGTCAGCGCAACGAATCCCCAGGGCCCTAGCGCGCTATTTCCTAGAAAATGCTCCTCAGCTATCCTCAGGAGGCTGAGTGGACCTCGTTCCAGACCCACTACTTCTCAGAAAATCGGGAATCGAACTCGGGACCTCTGGATANCTTCTCAGAAAATCTGGTAGCGCCGGGAATCGAACTCGGGACCTCTCGATCTGTAGCCAGGATCTTTGACCACTAGAACCACTCATCCTGCATTAATTCGTAATGCAATCCGAAAATTCTCTTTACTTGAAACCGTATCATAATTTTCAATATTTTCCGAAACCATACTAGTATTCATAACTACCAAAGTCGGAAAAATAATTCCATACTTTAACTTAAATATCTCCGAATTATAATTTTTTTAAAGGCCCTTAATTGAGTTTATTTACAAGTACGTGTTTTCATTTTCGTTCTTTGATGTTCACCTGTAATTTCACGGACCTAATTACACCACTCAGAACACTAGATATGCCCGCCTTGCTGAGACTGGGCGATATACCTGTATTACACCTAATTAGGACTAAATTACATACAACTCTACCAACTTACATTAAGTAGATGTAACTGTTAATTATTACGAAAAAGCTGTAAGTGGGGGAATACATTACAAAGAATTGCGGTTTTAAATTGCTCCGCCCCCCCATTCATGTTCTCAGAGTTGGAGGGGGAGGGGGAGAAGTGGGAGGAGTGAAGGGATGGTAATTTTATATCGCTCACTCAGCAGAACAAGGGTTAGGGCGGGAGGGAGGGACGAGTCTCCCTCTCTGTTCTACATGTCAACTATAACGTTGCTAGGCAACGACATTCATAATTACAGCCAATGATGATTAGCGGCTAAAGGCGACAATGGCTGACGGCGAACACGACACGCCAGAACACGTACAGACAGGGGAGCTCTCGTCACGCCATGGCATTCATCACTGCTTCACCATCACGCATGATGGCTACCTCTGGAAATGTAGTTGCAGCAGTTGACAGAGAGCGGTTAGTGGCTTACCGCGGCCCCAGGAAAACTGGGGGGTAGGGGGGAAGGCTGTTGTCAGGGGTGAGAATTCTGATGGCCAGGTGATTGCTGTACTGGATAAATAATTCCTGTACAGGTTTGTGTTTCTCACGGTAGTGATCATGACGAGCAATACTCTGTGATGTGATGCCGTACAGCTCCACCTCTCAGTATTCTAGCTACACCTCAGGCACACCAGACACAATCAATCCGCAGAACATACAGAGCTGAGCATCAATATCATCATCTAAGTAAGTAACTTCATGGAGCTGAGACCTTCTTGAGAACCCGCCAGTTGTGCAGCTACTCAAGAACTTCCCAGCATTTTATGGAAACCGAAGGTTCATTACCGTGTTCACAAGAGCCCTCTACTGGTCCCTATCCTAAGCCAGATCAGTCCCGTACATATCACCCCATCATATACCTCTGAGATCCATTTTAATATTATTCGCCAATCTACGTTTTGGTTTTCCTAGTGATCTCTTTACTTCTGGCTTTCCCACCAATATTCTCTCCCATATTAATGCTACATACCCTGCCCATCTCATCCTCCTTGACTTTATCATTCTAATTATACTTGGAGAAGAGTACAAGTTACGAAGCTCCTCATTATGCAGTTTTCTCCAACCTCCTGTCATTTCATCTCTCTTCGCTCCAAATATTCTCCTCAACACCCTGTTCTCAAACACCCGCAGTCTATGTTCCTCCCTTACTGTCAGATACCAAGTTTCACACCCATACAGAACCATAAGCGAAATTACAGTTTTGTATATTCTAATTTTTATATTTTTGAACAGCAGACGAGAAGGCAAAAGGTTCTGAACGGAATGGGCGAAACAGGCAATTTTGAACCACATCGTTCTTTCAAGATTCTGCCAGGTCTGTCTACTGAATCAGCCCATCCTGTTTTCACTTTTTTGATTTGGCAACTATATATAAATTGCAGAGCAAGGTCCTCAACCTTGCAGCCAACTCCAAACATGGAGGACCAGGTTGTCCCGCAGTGACAAGGTGGCCCAGTTATGCCCCCAAGCACCGGGTTCCCTTTTCATCTCCTTATACGTCTTGCAGGGCTAGGGTGGAGGTATTCTAACCCGCCTCCACAAGGAAGAACTTCAATACATAAACTGCAATACAACCTGGGTATTAAATACAAATTTAGCTACAAATTATACAACCTGTAACCATATATTTACTTAGAACACGCAAAAATTCTTGGATTAACCAATCACAGCACACCCTCACGTACTAAAATTATAAATAGTACACCAGTAAACGTCCGAGATCCATTAACATAGTACACACCCCATCAGCACCCCAACTACACCCCTTTTGATAATTATAATTGATTTATTTGACCAACATATCGTAACATACATTTCACGGTATGCCCTCACTT